TATCAAGTGCTCTAGTTGTCAAAATGGATAGGGATCCTGCCATGGAATCTCAACCTAGTAGCCCTTAAATGGAGAGCTGACTTAACTAATGTGAGAGCCACAGCCCAGGTCGGCACAAAACGCAGTCTGACAGAAAGCAGAGGGAGGGGGTGGGCAAAGTTTCTCAGAAAGTGATGCTTTGAGCCAGGAAGTGGGCCCTGGATTTACGTTGTAGGGAGGAGAAATTCCGGGGAGTGGGAAGATTGTGAACGTGGCCTCCTGCTGGGATGGCAATAAATCCATTTGGGGGAAGTGGGTGGGACAGGTGCCAAAGGCAGGTTAACGTCAGGTTACAAAAGTCCACGTATAATGAGACTGCTGAGTCTAGGCTGTGGAGGAATGTTAAGCTGAGTATTCGGGAAAGGCAGCCCTGGTTTTAGCATGTAAGAGATTGGAATAGGAGATTAGCTAGGAGGCCAAGGAAATGATATGAAAGGTGATGACAGCCTGAACTAGGGCAGTGTCTGTGAGAACTATGGAAGGGACAGATGTCAGAAACATTTCTAAATCATAGATGGCTGATTACCAACCAGAACTGACGAGGACTTCACGAGTTCTGGCTTGGGGGACGAGGCCTGTGGGAGGGAGAGCAGGTGATAGGAGAGGGGGAATGGAGGCTAAGAAACTCTGAAGTTTTCCACTTACGGTGGTCTTGGAAGACAGGACGTCCTTGGCTGTGATAGAACACGGGCGTTTTCCTTCCACACCTGAGAAAGAGTTCTGTGGAACACACTTTGCCGTCTCTCCCGCCTCCTCTCAGGAGCAAGCATAACCTGCCAGTGTAGCCCGCTGGCATGTCAACATGCCAAGGATACATTCCAGAATGTTCGCGTGTCCCCTCATTCTGAATCACCGATCTCTCGCCCATGATCCAGGCTTGCTTCTTCTTGGTGTTGCCCCCTTCCTCGGGCACTGCAATACTCCATCTAGATTACATACCTGTACCCTTCTGTGAACTCCTTGAAAGAAAAGGGCTGTCTTACCTGACTTGCTTTTCTCTATTAATACTTTCTCCATTTTATAAATTATAGTCTTAAAAGTAGCATAAACATTTTTGTAGCAAGTGGAGCACAAATTTTGGAAGGAAATAAACTAGGTAACCAAATCCATCTATTCAGTCCCAGAATACACTGTGAGCAGCACTGTAAACGAGGAATGAGATTAAACACGACAGAAATTAAACCGTTCAGAGAGGGTCAGCTAGGGACTTGTCAAAGGTACCCAGAGGCCACCGTGAAGGGGCTCCCAACTGGCCACACCTGGGCAATTTGAACATCACACGATAGAGATGGGTAACACGTTGAACTGTAATAACACTGGAGTGTGACGAGGAATGGAACGTTTACATTGTTTCCAAGTACCTCCCTACAAAATACCTATGAATGAAAGGAAAAAGAGTAACTTATAGTGGAAGCTTGGCAGAGCCACCTTACTCAAGTGATCACAGTGAACGATATGAGTAACGGGGCAGACTGACTCGTGTGCCTCTTGGCAGGATGCAGTGAGAAGAACACAGCACCCTTCATATTCCGGCCAAAGATGCGGAACTTGAGTCTCATGGTGAGGAAACCTCAGATAAATCCACCCCAAGGGCATTCTACAAAGTAACTGGCCTTATCTTTTACAAGTGTCAAAGGCAAGACAGAGGAGCTATTCCAGACTTAACAGGAACTAAAGAGAAATGGCAACTAGTTGCATTAGCTAATTCTAAACTGGATCCTTTTGCTATAAAGGGCATTCCTGGGACAACTGGAGAGACTGGAAAGGAGCCTGACCCTGTTCATTTCCTGACTTTGATGGCTGGTTATGCAGGGGACTTCCTGGTGTGTAGAAAATAGACATGGAAGTATCTGGGGGTGAAGGGGCATCAGGTTGGCAACTTACTCTCAGATGGTTTGGGGGAAAAAAGTTCTTTTTACTGCAATGCAACTTTTCCATAGTACAGTCATGGTTTGTTTCAATATAAACATTTTATTTAAAAAAGTATCAGTTATTTTATTTTGCAGTTTAAATCTGTTTGTTTTTCTTAAAGAGGAGGTAGGGTGTTTCCAGACAAGGTTGGCCAGATGGCAAGAAATCTTCAGCTCCTACTTGGCCTCAATAATTTGAGAATAAAATGCTTACATGAGACCACATGTGTATCAAGCTGAAAGTGGGCAGCTCCGTGCAGTGGATCCGCAAGGCCTGTCACTGGAGACATCACTGGCTGAGGGCCTGTTTCAGAGCTTCATACATCACTTGGTCCTGAGAAGAGGGGAGAAGACAGAATGTAGCGCTGGTCACTGTTAATGGGTTGAAGTATATCCTCCCCAAAGTCATCCATTGATGTCCTGATCCCCAGTACCTCAGAGTGACTCTATCTGGAGAAAGTGTCTTTAAAGAGGTGATTAAGTTCAAACGAAGTCATGAAGGTGGGCTCTAATTCAATATGACTGGTGTCTTTATAAGAAGAGAGAAGGACACAGACATGCACAGAGGGAGGACTGTTGGGAGCCATGCAGGCTGGCTTTACTGTAGTATAACTTGTTTTGCTTCTTGCTCCTTTCTGCACCTGGAGGATGCTTACTTAACCTTGAGGCATGTGGTGAGAAGGCCAGTTCCTTAGAAGACACACTAAGATAGAGGGCTGTTTGGCTTTGGGGAAGATAGTTTCCTGGGAAACTGACCCTCTAAATTTTCCACTGACCTTCAGGTTTCTAGTAGGTAGCTAATGATGTACTTTTAATGAGGTTATGCATATTCATCCCTTCTGTGTTACATGTACTCTGGGGGTATATAATGGGGAGGAAAAATAAACTCGGGGCTGGTTGCTGAGAATGCTTCCAGTCCTCCCGGACCCTCTTTGTCTCTTTGTCTCTTTTTTTCCTTAAACCTCGCCCCCCACTTCAGGTACTGTTCACTGGAACGCCGAGGCAGGACCCCGGCAGAGGACCACAAGAAGATACAGTCATCTGCAAGGAGAGAGGCCTCCGAAGAAACCAACTCTGACGACACCTTGATCTTGGACTTCTAGCCTCTAGAACTGTGAGAAAATCAACTTCTGTTCTTTAAGCAGCCTGAGCCAACTAATACACAGAGCTGACCTCACCGCCCTGTGTCTAAATTCCACACACTTCTCCTTTCTACACAGGATGCCCATGACTCATAACTGTTGGCTAAAGTTTGCCCCAAAAATCAGGTCGAAAGATTTTTATGTCTCTATCTAATTAGTGGAGAAAGAAAAATTCTAAACTTTACCGAATCCAGGTGGAAATGAGAGGCCAAAGCAGAGGCTTCTTATGCAGTATTAACATTTGTCAGAAACGGCCAGTTATTTCCCATTGAGGCTGGACCGGGTCACACTTTCAGCAACAACAGATGAGAGCTCTAGTTGCTTCACCTCTCTGCTGCCCTTTTACATTTTAGTCATTCCACTGCTATCCATCAATCCCAAAGAAATAGTTGTGGCAGGTTTTTGTTTTTCTAGCCCTTTAAAAAGTTTTTTGGTTTTTTTTTAAAATCCAATTTTGTTAAATTTTTATTTTGGATAGTAATATGTTCACAAGATTAAAAAATATACAAACGTTATAAAGTGAAAAAGGGTCTCTCATACCCTACCCATCCCCTCCATCAATGTATCATTTCAGATTTTTTCTTCTGCATATACCTGCAAATACATTATCTTTCATTATCTTTTCCTCCTTTTAAGATAAATGGTGGCAAATCCTACACATGATCTCCCCCCCTTTTCTGAACAATATATTTAGGAGATATTCTTCAGTCTTTGTAGTTACATCAAAATTCATTATTGACCATTCAGAGTTTCAATCTTTAGCTATTTTTATACACAATGCACCAAAGAATAAATAATTTTACACTGACTGTGTATTTCTGAGGGTAAATTCATATAAAGGAGTTGCTGGGTCAACTTTTGTTGTCATTATGATTTGGTCCATCGAAAGGGCTGTATCAGATTGATGCCTCACTAGCTCCATATAAAAGCAACTGTTTTGGCATTTCCTGGCCAGCAGGACGGGTGTGATCAAATTTTGAGGTTTTTGCTCAGTGTGTAAAAAATAGTATCTTAGTTGCCTTTCTTTTATTATCAGTAAGTTAAGAATTTTTCTATACGCTCAGACGCTCATTTGCTTTTCTCTGAAGGGACTGTCATAGTCTGTCCATTTTTCTATTAGGATGTTGGTCTTTTTCTTATCAATTTCTAGTCATTCTTTATGTGTACAGGAGATGTCCCCTTTGTAACAAGAACTGCAAATATTTTTTTTGGTCATTTGTCCTTTGACAAATCATTTTTTTAAATGCAGAAATTTTTATTCTTATGTGTCAGGGTCTTTAGAGTTTTCATTTATGGTTACTGGGTTTTGTGTTAAAGTAAAAAAGGTACTTCTACTTGAGGTTATAGAAAAATATCCCTATTTTCTTCTAGTACTTTTATGATTTTAGTTTGTACATTTAAGTCTTTGAGTCATTTGGAATTTATCGTGGTATACAGTATGAACTATGAATTCAACTTTAATTTTTTGAGCTGTCTTCCCAGTTGTTGCAATATTAATCATTAATCACTGATTAGTCCATCTTTCTCTCACTGGTATGGAGAATATTATATAACATGTACATTTTGTATAAATTATGTATTATATTAGGGTACATTCCTGCACTTTCTATTCTGTTCCACTTGTCTGTCAGTCAGTTCATGCACCACTACCATTATCACTGTGGCTTTTGAAAAATGTCCATGTTTTTTAGGCCCCACCTCCTGCTTGATCTTCTTTTTGCAGTTTTCCTGGCTGTCCCAGTTTGCTTATCTTTTATGAAAATAATTTTTTAATTTTTTATTGGGGAACAGCCATGGTCATTGGTTACACATTGCTTTCATGCTACAATGGCACAGTTGACTCTTTTAGGGAAGGCCCATGCAGGGATCAAACTGCAACCTTGGTGTTATCAGCACCATGCTCTAACCAACTGAGCTAACCAGTCACCTCCAGTTTGCTTATTTTTTCTATATAAACTGTTTAGATTATAAAACAATATTTATTATAGAAACATTAAAAAATAAAGATCAGCAGCAAAAGATAAAAGTTAATCCTTAATTTCCAGAGATAATTATTGTTACTATTTTGGTCTTCCAGACCTTTTAAATTATTGTTTTTAAAATATTTAATTTTTTTGTGGGGGGCTGGCCGAGAGAGGCGTGTTGGTTAAGAGCTGGCTTGGGACGCCAGCTCTGAGCAGCAGGGCCCCAGTTCGGATCCCACATGGGGGCCAGTGACACTGCCCTCTACAGCTAAGACAGTGAACAACAGCTCTGCCTGGAGCTGGGCTGCCATGAGTCACTGGCGATGGCGTAGGCTGCAGCCCCTGCTGCAGTGGGCTGCCATAAGCTACCATGTGTGGCTGGCAGCCAGCGTGAGCAGCTGGCAGCCGGGGTGAGCTGCCAAGAGCCGCCGTGAGCAGCTGGCGACCGATCTGCCTCACCTGCGAAGAGCGCAATGATAATACCAACATGGGCCAGTGAAGCAACGTCCTCCACAACTAGACTGAAGAACAAAACGACAGCAACTTGTCTGTTCCCCTCCCCCAATTCCCCAATAAAATCTTAAAAAAAAAAATTTAATTTTTTTGAATAGGTACTACATTCACATGGTTCAAAATTCAAATAGGATAAAGGGATAACTTTCATACCTCTGCCCTATGGTCACCCAGTTTCTCTCCCCACAACTTATTAGCTTCATAATTACTTTATCAGGTCCAGTGGAAATGCCAAAAAAAGAAACATTCTCTTTACCTTGATGTTATGTCTTATTTTGTAAAAGATCAAACAAAGTCACAATCGGCTGGGTCATCTGCTTTATTTATTTGTTCAAATTTCATGCTATGCCTATTTCTAAGAGCTGTATAACTTCTTATTCACTAGGGTAGTTTCCAGAAATCAAATCTAAGGTTTAAAGATTATGACTACCAAAGATATGAAAAAGAATACACTAGAATCCAGCCACATTGTGAAGACATACATGTAGCCTTCCAAAGGATGTTCCTAAAAGGGTAAAAAGAATTCTACAATGTCTGAAATTATAGGTTCAGATATGTTTTTAATAGACTCGATCACACTACCTTTGTCATGTATTATAGCTGATACCTTCTAAAAACCAAAAGCCACTTGTAAACCATTGTCTAACATCAATAGTGCTGAGTGACCAGGTTAATATGCACCTGTGTGCACATCTACGGTAGTGCGTACCATACAACTCTTAATTGCTCAAAAAGATTAGAACCACGTCTTCTGTGATCTTATATCTTGTGAGTCTAGCACAGTGTCTGGCATATGCATAGTACGTACATGATAAATGTTTTTGGGTAGATGAAAGAATGAGATCTTAGGTAATCTGTTAACATACTAGGCGGTAGGGAGACTCTGACTCGGGAGGTTTTTCTCTCATAAATGTCACTGTGACAGAAATACACAGGCAAATGGATGAACCATATAATCCTGAGCGTGAAGAAGAATATCAGAGTGCTCTGGCCAGTGGGTCAATAAAAACCAACAAGTTAAAAAAACAGGAGTTTCAATGGTGTGGCTATAGTAGAGGAGGAAAGAAAAAAAAATTATAATTTATGTTTGAGCGAGGTTTCCTTCCTGATGATGATAGAACAATGCCATAGAAGGCAGAGAGAAAAGGCTATAATTTGAGATAAATATCTGGGAAAATAATTTCAAGGTCTCAACATTTATTAATAGCTAACCTCACCTCTGGTCTCTGGTGAGCAGCTAACACTGAAAAAAACCAAACCAGCAAAATAAATTATGCTCTATTGGTCTGTGAAGTGACACATACTGGACAAGAGAATTTCGTTTCACTGAAGCAAGAAAATAAAGGATGACACAGTTGAGATGAACATGTCTGAATTCTGAGAAGCAGTTGGCAAAAGGAGTCCAATCTTAAAGAATATATATGTATTTTTTTTAAAGATTTTTTTTATTGCGGAATTAGGGGATGGGAACAGCGCTGGGGAATTGGGGGAAGGGGAACAGACAAGTTGCTGTCCTTTTGTTCTTCAGTCTAGTTGTGGAGGACGTTGCTTCACTGGCCCAAGTTGGCACCATCATTGCGCTCTTCCCGGGCGAGGCAGATCAGTCGCCGGCTTCTGGACAGCCGCGCACTGCGGCTGCTGGCCACTCACGCTGGCTGCTGGCTACACACGGTAGCCCATGGCAACCCACTGCCACAGAGGCTGCAGCCTACGCC